CTCGGCTTCTTCTTGGGCGGGCTGGGCTTCTTCTTGGGCGGGCCCGGTTTCGTCGCCCGGGAAGGCTTCCCTAGAGAATGGGGTGGTGATGGAATGTGCTCAAGGTGTGTGTGATGATAGTTAGCGGTGGAATACCTTTGAAGGCCACACGCGCTGGGCACACGTTCGCTCGTTGGTACGTATCGACGTGCACGTGTACACCACGGTGCTACTTTCGAATTTCAAAACATCGTTGTAGCGCGTGACGTTTTGACACTCGACACGGTACCAACGGAAGTTGGTGGGTCTCATCAGTAGAGCATCAGACGGAAGAGTATAACGAGAGAGCGTCTCGGGGAGATACATCGGTCAGAACAATGACATGGGGCAAACTGACGCTTGTGTGTAGGAAGAGGAGCCGATGGAAAACAATGAGCTCACAACGACAAATATTCGCTCTATAACTGCAACTGCAGTGTACGCTGTGTGAAGTCTTGTGAAACTCTGATGCCCCATTAGGACATACGCACGATCAGAGGGTCGCTCAGGACACAGTGCGGGCTGATGGGTGTGCAGGCAACGTCAAAAGCGACAGTGCGGGCGCTAGCGGCCACGCGTGGTGCCACCATTGCGACCCAAGCTTGGTCGATAGCTCTGGAAAATAGAGACGAGAATCACGGCTTCTGGTCAACTCGCTAACCAACGCGATGCTTACCATACACGCACGTGATTTTTCCCCACGAGCGCGTCCTGTGTTGTGCTTCACAAGTATGTATGCATCGTCCGGTTCCTCTCTCTTGGACATGAGAGTTCATACCAAGACGACACGCCACGTGATATATCGTAGGGCTGCGCCATGTACACCGACAGAGTTCCCACCCCCGAACCATGTCGCGAAATACTGGTTGCGTACTGTGTGTTGGACAGGCCGATATATCCCTGAGCCCATCCAACCACAACGACCATTCTACATACGTCCGTGAGTCTTCAACGTACCCAAGGCATAACTTCGTTTTCTGATACCCTCGGGACCCGCTATCCTGTAGTGTAAGCCATACCCGTATCGCTACGTTCGTGCTGCCTCCGACTTGGACGTCTGGACGTGCCGACGACACGGCCGTTGGGTTTCTCGGGCGTACACAGGTGGAGGTCGACCCCCCTTCCCCAAAATGTCGGATGCCCTCGCCCCGTTGTGGGGACCTTGACAAGGTCGAACACCTTGGAGAAGACAACCAAGGCCTCAGAAATGCCTCGATTTCTCCCCTTTTCGAGTGCCTCGGTTGTCTTCTCCAAGGTGTTCGACCTTCTCAAGGTCTCCACAAGGGGGGGAAGGCATCCGGACATTTTGGGGAAGGGGGATGGACGTCCACCTGTGTATCTACATAGACGGGCAACGAAATATCATGGTTCCGACCGACCAAGCTTCGAGCCTTTCCCCTTGTGCTCCCTGGACTTACCGGGTCCTCGCTTGATGATGCACGGGGCTTTAGCACCACGGTCGGAGCACCGGCCCTGGCTCTGGAGGACACCGGTGACGCAGCAGTCCTCCCCGCTCAAGCCGCGGGGTAGGTTCTTCCTGCATTCAATGCCACCGCACTCCCCGCATCCCAGCTGTCGGCATAGAGGAGCAATTACGGCAGTAGATGTTTGGCGAGAGGGTGGTTGGTGTCGAAGCGACGGAGCTCTTTAACAGGTCCGAACGTGCAGCATGTGCAAGTGACGGACGGGTTTCGGGTGTACACGGCCGTCACGGGGCACCACCGTCATCCAACTTGATCTGGCACAATCCTCGTAGAGTCAACAGCAATCCTCACCGGGCAACAGACCGTGCCGTTGTCGTTGTGGCCGACGCGTCCTTCCATGCCCGGGTGGAAGACTGCGCAGCTCTGCTGGCGCGGTGGCGGCTTGGTCGGCGAGGAAGGTCTACCTGGAGATATGGTCGTCACGGAATGAAGTGTGCTTATGGGTGCATATGCTGTGCGGTCACATGAACGGCAAGGACAGCGACCCCAATCATTGGTATGGGAAGCGTCCGTGATTCGACACGGGAAGAACCACAAAGGGCCTTCCACATCTGTGAAATTGGCGGGCTCCGTGAGAGGTGGCGTGAAGATCATGGGTTACTGGGGCACCTGTCCCAAGTGAAATCGCGGTGAGTCATTGCCGCGTTACGTCACGGCCCAGTGTCTGCATCTCTTCGTCCTTCAGGGCGTGGGCGTGGTTTCCGCGTAATGCTACCATGTGGAAGTGGAAGTCTTCCTCAACCACTTTCACTCACCACCGGCCACGGACATGACGAGCATGGCCATCACCAGAAGCTTTCCCCGTGATGACGAGCCGACACGTGCCATGGCTTTTCGATTCTAGCAGTTCAACGTTCGAGGGAAACGCGGAGGGCGGGCGGTTTTTTTTTCGAGTTGCCTGGTGGTAGGCGGCCTCCGTCACCCTGCAAATGTCGGGGCTTCCATGCACAAGCAGAGGCGGTGCGTGAATGCAAGCCCGTACATCCACAATAGCTTGGTTTGGTTGTGTCGAACTGCGGGGAACGTATTGAGGATGACGCACACTTCCTCCCGAACGTTCGCGACGCACAACTGTGCTTCGGTGGAATCCGTCTAAAACCAACGATCCTCCACCTCAGCAGCGAGTGGGCAACGATGTACGGACGACCGCGCACGTCTTTCCACTATTTTCCCTAACAGCTCTTGAACGCGGAGCATCAACAGAGGGTGCCGCGATTTGCTTGGACGTCTACATCAAAATGTTCTCGTTTAATCACCGCTTTAACAGCCGTTCCGCAAGAACGTCACTGTTGTCCGGTATTGAAAAATCTCTCGGGCTTTGCCGTCCCCCTCGTTTACGTCCACCGTCCAAACGTTGTGGCGGACCCGATTTCGATCAGCTGCTACAGTATGGTATACGCTCTCCGTATGTGTACATGTCCTCTCTCACCATTTGGTTTCTTGCAGTCGCCCGTGTGCCGTTTGCAGTACGTCGATTGCGTGGGGTAGGACTGATGGTTGTGTGTGAGTGGGCCAGGGGATGCTCGAAGGAGGTGGAGAGCGCCGATGGATCTTTGTTCGTGGCACGGGGAGTTGAACCGACGATTGTTCCGTTGATTAGATGGCCGCTTGAACCGAACTATGGGACTGTCAGTTGCGCGGTTGAAGCAAGCAACGGCTTGAGCCACGGCACCACTTCACAGGGTACCATCGCCGAATGAAGTGTAGTGAATGCTTCTTCCGAACTGTTCCAGAAACAAGCCTGTGTCCTGCGCTGAAGCAACGCATGTTATCCGTATTGTTCATCTTTGGGGGCCAACCTTGCTAATGTAGGTTGTTGTCGTTGGTGTTGTCCCCCTCTCCCCTTGGGCATTCTTGAGAGTTCGCCGATCGGGCCACTGCGTGTACCGCGTCGTCATGTAGGGGCACATTGTTCAGCACGTGGGTCAAGATGAAATGCACAGGACACGGCTTTTTTGCACTGGTACCATATAGACGCGTTCAGAACAGTTCATTCCGAGGGTAGAACAAGCTTGCTATTTTTTCGTGTCCTAGAATGTATGAATCCTTTCTACCTTGGCAAGACGACAAACGTATGACCATGTCATCAAGAGTTTGACGACCGCGCCTCAAATTCCGTGAAGCGATTTATTTCCCCAATTTTGTTATGGTTCACGGCCGCTATGGAGGCTGCACACGATCCCGCTTAGCCAGATTTTGCGAGATAGAGGCCACATATCGTCGTGACAGTACAGGAGTCGCTCAACCGCCCCCCACTGCAGTGGAAAGCGGTTATGTACATGTAGCCCTGACGTTGGCGAGCACGCGACCCGACCAGCTTCCGTGGACGTCGATGTCGTACCTACTACTCCGTGTCGGAACCAACCTCACCGTTGGTGCCAGCAACCATCGTTCGTTGCGGAAAGCAGTTTTTGATGGCCGAAAACGCGCGAAGCTTCTCGATTCCGTCGGATTCGAGAAGGGACTGCGCTACCAAACGATCATGGTACAACCGTCAAACAACTTGGATGGTGTCACTCCTCCAACGTGAGGACACACACAAAACAAATTCAGGCTCGAAGACATGATACTCGCAGAGACCAGCCAATGTGATAATATTTGAGGAACCGGCCGCAGGGGCCAAGAGGCGTCACATATACCTCCATCAGGACAGAGAGGTTTTAGAACACCCCACGGCGCTCCGTATATCCTTCGTTCAAACGGCAAACGCGCAGGTCGACACCAACGTAGGCAGGGCCACCTCGTCTTCAATTTGCAGCAGCTTCTTCGAGGTATCTCTTGTGCCCATCCGCCCACAGCCGACGCTGCTAGTTGCGCGGTGTCAACAGAACGCACCCCTCGAGACAAGAGCTTGGAAGTATTGTCGTAGCCGTCCTCGACGCCGACACAACAACATCTCCGAGACCTGAGCAGGGTCCTCGTCTGATCAGGGACGTGGTCACCGTTGACAACAATGCCGTTGCTATGGATACGAACCCGTGTTCCTACAGTACACCTCATGGGATCGGATTCCCCCGGTAACGTTCAGTAGCAGCGATTTGCTGGCCACCGCGCAGACAATGGATGCCGCGCTGCAGGTCTGCAGGTCCGCACGTCAGGAGAGGGAAGGACCGCTAAATCGTTTAGTCACAAAAAAAACTTCCAACCTAAAGCATCACAAGAGGAAAGGCCGACAACACACAAAAAAAGCAGGTCCTTGTGCGTAAAACATATACCGAAAGGTGATGACCGGCGCCCACAAAAAATGCCCTTTGACAGGGTAAGAATACTTATACTAAGATTCAGCTAGACAATGCAAGGAGAAAACACGCTTGGTTTCACCCGCGTGCACAATCTCTCTCGAGACGGATGATCTGTATCCGGGCCCGCCCTATCCACTCAGAAGCCTGTCGTGCAAACCCCGACGCACATACACCGCGATCAACACCACGGTGGAGACCCCGCGACCCTAGAACCCCCTTCGGTCTTGCGGTTAAGTACCCCCTATTTTCCCGGCTCCGCGGGATGCCTGGAACATATTCGTTCTGCCCGGCTAGTGTTACGCGCGTGCTTACGACGTGAGCGTTTGCAGCAACGACAGCGCGTCCGGCGAGCGCACGACACGTCGAAGCCGGCCGTACGCCCTGCCGCGCCGTACCCCATGCTGCGTGTCGGGAGTCGCTTCCTCCTCCCAGCCTGCAGCGGCCGCACCCTCCTTGCCCTTGCGAATCTTTCTACTGAACCCTTCGAAGCCTCCTCCCCGAGAACCGGCAGTTTCCCTGAGGGCGCTCTCCACGTGGAGCTTGCAGCGGGCGAACCCGCGGTCCTTCATCGGGAAGGCGCCGAACACCTCCCTGAAGGCGGGGAGGCCAACCCAGGTCACCTGGAAACGGTGATTCTGGAAAAAGCAACCACGCAAAGGGGGGGGGGGGGGGGGGTGTACTCATAGTCGTGCATGCCGTAGTCGTTCGACCAATGACCTCGCATCCCTACAACGCCGGGACGGAGCACGCCGGGTTCTCACCGGACCAGGCTCTCACATCACCGGGCGCGAAGCGCCGTGAGGTACTCGGCGAGTCGCATGAAGGGTGAGCTGCATCCTGCTAAGAGTGTTCGGCATCTTGTGCTTACTTCCTTGCGTACGGATGACAGCTACGTATGACTTAATTTATTTTCTGGTGCTTTCACTTGCAGAGACAGTTATAAGCACTGTGTAACTGCCTCGAGGATGCTTGACCATTTTAACACAACGTGGTGCGATCATCCCCCGTTGCGCGGAGTGAGGGTTCTCCTCCCCGCACAACATGATCTACTCGACCACCATTATGGTTACCGCAAAAACAAAAACCGAGGACAAAAAAAAACGGTAACCTAGTTGCCGAGTTCACGAAGTGAATTGGCTTGTTCTACAATGTCGCTGCCAAGCGACAAAAACCCAATCCCGATGGCAAACACCGAGGGGGGGGCATGTTTTACAACGTCGTTGCCAAGCGACGAAAACCCAACCCCGATGACAAACACCGGGGGGGGTTACTCATTCTCGTGCATGCTGTAGTCGTTAGGCCATTGACGTCGCATCCTTACAAAGCCGGGACGAATCACACCGGGTTTTCACCCGGACCAGGGTATTTATCCCAACCTCGGGATGCGATCAGTTTCCCTTCCCAAGACTGTTGCATCTTTGGGGACCGAAATGGAGGACCACCGCGGCTCCTGTGAGCCACAGTACTTCCAGATTTCCGAGTGATCGTCAGGTTTCACCGTCCATTTGCCTATCATAGAAGGCGGGAGTGGGTGCTCATGAGTGTTCATCCTGTAGGTTGTTGACCACAGCCACGGACTTGGGATGCATGCAAAGCTGAGCAGGAGAACATCGAAATATCGGGGGTGAGGGAGGGGGGAAGTAGTCAGCGCTTCGGCGCTGCACCAAAAAGCACAAAAACGTTTCTTGGGCATCGCCTTAAGCCCACGGGAAGCCGCCGACGCAGAATGTGCCTGCCGCCGACAATAACAACCAATCGCGCCGTTCGTTTTCGGTGCATCCTACGGGGCCCCCACAAAAACATCCACCAACACCCCTACCACATCCAGTCTGCTTTGGTCTGCTGGCCTACATGCACGTTGTCTCCGTCTGCTCCATAGGTCAAAAATGTCCCAAGTACAACGTAGAACCTACATCAACTGGTTGGACAACTTCCGGAACCTTGGGACGCCCGGTCCTCCTACTACTGCTGGGGATGGCACTCGCAATAGGTTCCGAAGGATTCGGTTCTTCGTGTTGCAATCCGGTGTACAAAGAAAAGTTCCCGGGGTTTTACATCTCTCCATCCCTCGTTCTCTGTCTGTCTGTGCCTCTGCCTCTGCCTCTGCCTCTGCCTCTGTATCTCTGTATCTCTGTATCTATCTCTCGCTCCCTCCCTTCCTCTCTCTTCCCTCCCTCTTCCCTCCATCTCCCCTTCTCATGACTGCTATGTCGGCACGCGCTAAGTCAACGTTGCTCGCACCTTGCAGACGCACCGCACTCCTCTGGAGGTGCCAAAACTCCCGTTGCGCCTGTTGGAGCGGTTCTGGATCAGGCTGTAGGCGTAGGCCGTCGTCTCGAGAGCACCGTTCGACAGCAAGGAGGCGTTGCCAGCGGGACCACGAGGCAAACGGAGAGCGGAAGTGGCCGTTTTGGCCGCACACACCAACAGCATCTCGTACCTGAAACAAAAACAAAGTGGACCGTCACACCGCAAATTGGAGGAACCCAACGATGGTTCATAGCTCCCACGTAAAGAGTGGACCGGAACCTTCGTAGAATGATATCAACAAGCGGTAGTCGAAGAATCATGACAAAAGCACATCGCCAGTTCGCGGAGCATGGACTGCCTGCCTAACGACCCCGTGACCACTCCGAGAAAGCTTGAACACAGTGGTGTTCCTGTTTCACACGTAGGTAGACCTTGGCCAAATCGCATTATCAACCGACTTTACATCGCTTTCTGACGCCAAGGTGGGGTGCCCTGAAGGGGTAATCTGTTCATTACAAACGCTGAAAGTGAACCTTGAAGGAAGCATAAGTTCGGCGCGTACATGGAGGTACATAAGTCCGTCTGCCAAAAACCGTGCACGTACGTTTCGTTTGCGAACCTTTCGTCTCAAGCGTGAAATCACAGCTGCCGCCTCAGAAATTGAGAGGGCGCGGTGTTTTTCAGGGGTTAGGGTTGGCTTGTCAACGCCTTGTGGGCAGAACAAAATGTTCATCTCAAGGCACGGTGGGATGCGGTGTGTTCAATGGCCGGGCGAGACGAGAAATCCACCGCTACAGCAATGTAGCGCAAGTGTAGGATGTTGCACCCAAGACCCACAAGCTGACCCTCCCTCCAAAAGCACGCAATCACGTAGCACGATCCACTTCGAAAGTAAACATTGGTGTCCTCGACTACGACAAGAGGCGTAGCTCAGCAGCAGCGGCGGCCAAAACACGCATGCGAACAAGTAGAATTGTGCTCCAACGCACAAAAATAACACGGCGCGTGTGTTTTCCAGAAAAAGGCGAAATGTGGTCTGGCGAGCGGGAACAAAACTCACACGTTGAGCAGCACGGTGTTCCTGGAGTTGATCCCGAGGTGCTCCCCCTCGTCGAGCATGAGGGCGTGGCACTTGGGCGACAGGAACCGCTTCATCTTGCCCACCAGGCACGCGCCGGCGCGCCTCGAGTCCACCGTCAACGACTCCGCCACCCCGGCCTTCGAGTACCTGGACGACGGGGCGGGTGGCGATGTCAACGGTCGCGGTGGGCGATGGCGGGAGAGCGGGTGATACCAGCATTCGTAGTACCAACATCAGCGCAACACCCAGAACAAATCAGCGACGGCTTGTATGTCTTTCACCGCTTCAACAGTGGCTTCGAGGCTGTGTTTAGCTCTGTCCCATGAAAATTTTGTGCGCGATGGGCCTATCACATCACAAGGGAGAGGTGGATGAAACCCTACTTCTCCTTCGAGTGTGCCGGCGAACCTTCCACAAGGCGGTAACCCTCCCTTTGAATGAGAGGCTTGCTCTTTCGCGGTTACAACGCCGCAAATGCGCCTGCAGTTAGGGTCCCTGTTTACTGTGCCGGTACACATGTGTCCAGAAGATTTACCCGCACTATACCGGACCGGCACTGTTCCAAAGT